CCGAGTCACGCCAGGAGCCGAGCGGCGAGGGGGCGGGAACGCGAGAGGGAGGGAGGAGGCAAAGGGAGGTAAGGCGTGCAGCTCCCAGCAGCCACCGCGCGGCAAGGCCGCCGGCGCTTGCGCAGGTGACGTCATTTCCGCGTCGTCTGTTTTGGCTCCCGCCGCCCAATCCAGATACGCGCTCCGTGGCCCCACTCCACTGAGGAGCCTCTCACTGGCCGGAGCTGCGCAGGCGCAGCCGAGCCGCGGTCACACGCTCAGGTGCAGAGTGCGACGCAAGAACTCCTGTGTTCCTCCGCGGTTAGCGAGACCGCGCCTTTTCTCCTGCAGTTTCCTGGGGCGGGAAGGTGAAAAAGGAGCCCCCTTCCCCCCGGGGTTCAAGGCTACAGTTATTTACGGGTCTCATAATATGCGGGCGCGCTCTTTGCAATCATCCAGAAAAAATGTTATGCATTTGTCTTTAAGCTGTGTCAAAAAAAGAAGGAATAGAAAACACTGTCCGTCGCCTCTCCCAACAAGATGGCGGGGGGTGAGGCTGGCGTGACTCTTGGCCAGCCGCATCTTTCTCGACAGGATCTCGCCACTTTGGATGTTACCAAATTGACTCCACTTTCACAAGAAGTAATCAGCAGGCAAGCCACAATTAATATAGGTACAATTGGCCACGTGGCTCATGGGAAATCTACAGTTGTAAAAGCTATTTCTGGAGTCCACACTGTCAGGTTCAAAAATGAACTAGAAAGAAATATTACAATCAAGCTTGGATATGCCAATGCTAAGATTTATAAACTTGATGACCCAAGTTGTCCTCGGCCAGAATGTTACAGATCCTGTGGAAGTAGCACACCTGATGAGTTTCCTACAGACATTCCAGGGACCAAAGGAAACTTCAAATTAGTCAGACATGTTTCCTTTGTTGACTGCCCTGGCCACGATATTTTGATGGCCACTATGCTGAACGGTGCCGCAGTGATGGATGCAGCTCTTCTGTTGATAGCTGGTAATGAGTCTTGTCCTCAGCCTCAGACTTCTGAACACCTGGCTGCTATAGAAATTATGAAACTGAAGCATATTTTGATTCTACAAAATAAAATAGATTTGGTGAAAGAAAGCCAGGCTAAAGAACAGTATGAACAGATCCTTGCATTTGTACAAGGTACAGTAGCAGAAGGTGCTCCTATTATTCCAATTTCTGCTCAGCTGAAATACAATATTGAAGTTGTCTGTGAGTACATAGTAAAGAAAATTCCAGTACCGCCGAGAGATTTTACTTCAGAACCCCGACTTATTGTTATTAGATCCTTTGATGTCAGAGTAGCATGTTTTTTTCTTTTGTCATTCATTCTGACTAGAGTCCATCTGTCTGGGTCTAAGAATCTAAGATGATAGTGTGAGCTTTATGGAGAAGCAGGTTTTGGAAACATTCAGATTGAGCAGATAGGCAAGTAAAACTAGTTATGTCAAATGATTGTGTGGTAATAATGAAATATCCCAAAAATCACAGTTTCTTTTATTTTCATTTTGCAGTTTAATTGGTTGGGGTCAAATAAGAAGAGGAGTGACAATCAAGCCAACAGTAGATGATGACTGAAGAATTTGGAACAAGTCAGATTTTCAAAGTAGTGCTGGGGAGTGAACTTCACCTTAGCGATTACTCTCATCTTTTGGTGATACAAATGTAACCTCTCTAGTACTGAAATAAGGTCTACAATAAATGCAAAAATTACTGGATTGATTTTCTCAGAAACTGCTCATTCCCAAATAATGTTTAAATTACATAATTGGTGGTTTGAAATGAAATTACTACAGTTAGCTTTTGCTGTGGCACATGTACCACCGAACCTATTTGAAATACATTTTTTCTTCTTAAAAAAAAAAGAAAGAAAACACTGTCCGTCTTTTAGGGACTCCCAGTTTAGTGATAGACGCAAACAGTAGTTACGGAACAAAGACGTTTGCAAAGGAAACAAGGGAAACAAATGAAATAGGAGGATGGGGCAGGGAAAACTTTCCAGGAGATGTGACCCCTGAACTGAGTCTTTTATTTTTATTTTTGAATTCTCATTCGAGGATTTTTTCCCCATATTTTTTAGAGAGCGTGAAGGGGAGAGAGGAGGAGGGTAGAAAGAGAGAGAGAGAAACAGCTATTGCTTGCCCCCTGCATGCACCCCAACCGGGGCTGGGGATTGAGCCTACGACAAAGGTACATGCTCTTGACCAGAAATCGAACCTACTACCCTTCAGCAGAGGGCCAACGCTCTTAACTACTGAGAAACCAGCCAGGGCTGAACTGAATCTTTTTTTATTATTATTTCTTTATTGATTAAGGTATTACATGTGTGTCCTTATCCCCTTACTGTCCTCCCAACTCCTCCCTCCCCCACTCATGCCCTCACCCCCTTGTTGTCTGTGTCCATTGGTTGGGCTTATATGCATGCATACTAGTCCTTTGGGTGATCTCTCCCCCTTATCTCCACCCTCCCCTACCTTCCCTCTGAGGTTTGACGGTCTGATGGATGCTTCTCTGTCTCTGGATCTGTTTTTGTTCATCAGTTTATATTGTTCGTTATATTCCATAAATGAGTGAGATCTGAACTGAATCTTGATAAAGAAGAAAGGAATAGCCAGACGGTGAGAGGTGAGGGGTATTCCAGGCAGAGGGACCAGCGGTGCAAATGCATGGGTTGAGAGGGCTGATGATAATAATAGTACCTAATTTGTGACAACTTATGTGTCGGATATGATACAAGCTCATTGTGTGTATTAGCTCATTTAATTCTTACAACCACCCTGTGAAGTGGGTTCTAGTATTCATCTTTAGACTAATTTTCCCAAGTTCACACACCTAGCAAGAAGTCAAGTTTGCATTCACGTTAAGGCTGTCTAACACCAGGGTGCTGAGTGACAAGTCGAATGATTTGCTTTTGGATTTAGCTGGGGAGATGAAATTGAAAAGGGAGGCAGTAGTCAGATCATAACTAGTTGAGAAATGTGTATCTTTACATGAATGCAATGAAGTAATCACTTCGTGGCAATTTTATGATTACAAGTGTCTTTAGATAAAGCCTTGAGGCAGTTGTGAGGAGGATGGAAGGCAGTGAGACCAGTTTAGGAGGTTATTAAAGTAATCCAAGAACTGAGTTGAGAGCAGCTGCAGTGGAAATTGGAGGTAATGATATATTTGAGAAACAATTAGAAGATAAGAGCCACCGGGTTTGGTGACCAGTGTGGACCCAATTAGTGCGATGACAGAGGGAGGAATCTAGAATAATGCAAATATTTCAATTTGTGCTCTTTACTGAGTTAAGATGCCTGAGGATACCCAGATGAGGCATACAGTAGATGGGGAGTAAAATGAGAAAAGGGGGTTTACAAAAGAGCAGAGAGGCCAGAGGAAGATCACAAAAGTCAGGGTCAAAGACCAAAAGGATGGAACCTAAGGAACATCTTTGAATGTAGTAAGCGGCTCATTGGCTGTCATCCAGAGAGCCAGTGCAATTCAGTGAATTAAGATTGGAATCAGCCCACAAATCGTTCATGGCCTCTAGTGTGCCAGGCACTGTGCTAGATCCTCAGCAGTTAGACATGAGTCCGACATCGTCCTGGCCTTGATGAGTCACTCTTGTGAGAGATTCTCCCACAATTCAGAGATGCAGGCCAGGTGGCAGTTGTCCCTGTTCTACTGACGACAAGACTGCCTTTCAGAGAAGTGTGTAACTTAATTATGCAGCTGCTTTAGCTCTGTCCAGGCTGCACTCAAAATTACATAGAAACAGACTTTACAAATGTGCCTGGACACTTTTAGCAGATTTTACTGCAGAGTGATACTTTTTGGATGATTTTTTTCTCATCTATAGTTTCTAAATTTCTTCAGTAATTATCAATAGCATATACGATAATAATAATAAAGAAAGAAGGCACAGCTGGAAAATAAAGTCCTACTCAAGAATTCAACAAAGAAGATCCTTCCTTCCCCTAATAGTAATAACTGAAAGTAATAATATTCATAGTTAATTGATCTCCCTGTGTCCTGTACCTAATGCTTAATTTTGTTAATTAAAATAAGCTTTTGGTGGGTGGAATTTTTCCAAAAAGATGTTAGGGAGATAAGACTCTTCTACAAAGTTTACTATACAAGTTAAAATGTGGTAAGTGCCATAGCAGAATATAGATGGCATACCACAGTGGCTCAGAAAAAGAAGAGAGGTTTTCCAGCTGGAATGAGGAAAGAATGCTTTATGAAGGAACATGTTCCAATATTCAGGCCTAGATAAATATAGAAAGGAAATGGATAAACGTCTCCACTTCATAGCAATGACTCCTGACTTTCCTCTTAACTCGTCAAGAATATAATTTGTTTCAGACTCATCCATTCTTACAAGTTCAGCCAGTAACCAGAGAAAGCCTTTCTATCATGACTCGTAGCTGCCATGGGTTCACGTTGCTGATTTTACAAGTAGCTATGTTAGAAATATGGGTTTATTCTCCCAGTTGTCATTTGCACATAGTAGGTACAAAATAAGCAATGGTTGAGTAAATGAATGGAAAGGAAGCATAATGGGTGTGAATCTCAGTCCACAAAATCAGGTGTACAAGAAATACTATTTTGTGTTGTATAACAATTTCATTTCCAGTCTGAATCCCCACCCTCCTGCTACATCCATTTAAAACAAAATCTTAACCTTATCTCCTCTGTGTCTGCCTTAGAAACCGTATCAAATTTCTGGGTTTTGGGTAGGGTTGGGGCTTTGGAGTACAAATCTCTGGGTGTCTCTGTCTACACACCCTCTTCAAGTGGAGCCCTCTCTGCCTCATGTGACTACTTTAGGGAATGGGGCCCTTTGTTGAAGGTTGCCTATGGACCAGGTGCCTTGATGCACTAGTCTG